TGACCTCACTACATCTGGTCTTGAGTGTCTGCCACAATGCTGACCTCACTACATCTGGTCTTGAGTGTCTGCCACAATGCTGACTTCACTACATCTGGTCTTGAGTGTCTGCCACAATGCTGACTTCACTACATCTGGTCTTGAGTGTCTGCCACAATGCAGACTTCACTACATCTAGTCTTGAGTGTCTGCCACAATGCTGACTTCACTACATCTGGTCTTGAGTATCTGCCACAAAGCAGACTTCACTACATCTAGTCTTGAGTGTCTGCCACAATGCAGACTAATTAAATTGATTAATCAAAATGTTTCTGATTATTAGTATTTTTATTTATTGTTTGTTTGTTTATAATTAATCACAAAGCTACACAAAGGGCTATCTGTGCTCTACCCACCTCGGGTATCGAAACCCAGTTTCTGGCGTTGTAAGTCTGCAGACATACCGCTGTGCCACTGGGGGGGCTGTTTTTGTTTATTCCAACACTTGATTAACAAAAATTCCAATTTTATTGACTATCACGAAAATACGTATGTAATCAAAATTAGTGTTTCTTATCATTATTATTTGGGATTCCAACAACCCGAGTAATATAATATAGCTCTTATGTTTGTCTATTGTCTACATAATCTGTGCTCTGCTACATTTGAGCTTTATAAGTTGTTTCTTTTGTAACTTCAAGTTTGATTAGCTCTGGTAATTTGGGGGGGGGGGGGAATAGGCATGGAGTTTGTGATTCAAGGGTTTCAGATTCGATTCCATTGCCATCAAACTGGTTTGCTCTGCCACTGTAATGGCAAAGCTACAAATCCTATCACGTGACACATTAATGTTGTATGGTACAGGTAATAACTAATAGTAAACAACTTATATCACGTGAGACATTAATGTTGCATGGTACAAGTAATAACTTATAGTAACAACTTGTATCACGTGACACATTAATGTTTATGGTACAAGTAATAACTTATAGTAACAACTTGTATCACGTGACACATTAATGTTGCATGGTACAAGTAATAACTTATAGTAACAACTTGTATCGCGTGACACATTAATGTTGCATGGTACAAGTAATAACTTATAGTAACAACTTGTATCATGTGACACATTAATGTTTTATGGTACAAGTAATAACTTATAGTAACAACTTGTATCACGTGACACATTAATGTTGTATGGTAGAAGTAATAACTGATAGTATGTCACTTGACACGTTAATGTTGTATGGTAGAAGTAATAACTGATAGTATGTCACGTGACACGTTAATTTTTTATGGTACAAGTAATAACTTATAGTAACAACTTGTATCATATGACGCATTAATGTTTTATGGTACAAGTAATAACTGATAGTAAACAACTTATATCATGCGACACATTAATGTTGTATGGTAGAAGTAATAACTGATAGTATATCACGTGACACGTTAATATTGTATGTTACAAGTAATAACTTATATGATGATGACAAAACCTTGTACATTTGCTGTTACATTAAACTTATATTAAAGTTTTTTCTTCATTACCCATTCAAGCCATCTCCATGCATTATTAGTCTCAAAGTGGATTCCATGTCATCGAATCCATCTAGGCTGTCCCAACTACTAAACTAGTGTTGTAACATTGTTGTTTTACTTTTCATAATTAAACTGATAGTTTTTAGATAAAAACGCTTTTATACTGAAAAAAGAGTATGTGGTTATTGTGCAGTAACTGTCTGAATTTAGCATTAGAGTTTTTTCCCACATCAACTTTTCCTGGTTGGGCTGATGAGCTGCCATTTTTTATGGTAACATTTTGTTTAAGATGTTAGTAGAGAGAAAGAAGATGAATATTATAATGTTCATAAAGTTTAATAAAGTTATCATTTGAAGACTTGTTTCATAAGAAAAGCTAAGTTATATTAACATGGAGTATATTACACTTTTAGACCATACTTACTTGAGTTAGAGATTTACAAAAAATTGCACAATTAGAACAGAACTTGATGAAGCAAGACAGAGTTAGGGTAAAGGTTTCTTTGTGGGGAGGGGTGGTTGAGAATGCTAGGTTTATCAGAGTTCACAGTGTAAAAACATTATGGCTATAGAGACAAGTTAAGATTCATGTACCAGTCTGTAATAGATTGTTAACCTTTGACTGTTTGCAATGAGAAACAAGATGATCAAGATGTTTACTGATAGTTAAACCCTTGCTGTATTTAAATTTTAAATTATATTAAAAATAATTAGGTTGATTAATGATTACAGACACATGTATATACAAAGTGCTCACACTAAATCTTCTAAAATTATCTTTTTAGCTCATACATTTTTCTGAATGCATGGTTAAATATTAACTAAAAAAAACATGGAAAGGGACAAAGCTGTTAATTAATTTCTGCTCTTTACACTTTTTTTTTTATATAACAAGTTATATTTGGTGATACAAATGTAATACAGATTTAATGTAATATAAGTATGATTGAACATCAACTTGTAACTAAGTGATACTGATACTATTAGTAATAATACACTTTACATTATTCTGAGCCAATCTGTTACTAATATTATAGAAATAATTTAATTATCTAGAAATTTTGTGTTAAAAGCATGGTCTATTCTTAATATTATAATCATAAAAGTATACCTACTACTACTAGTAGCAGTACTGCTATATTGGTTATTTCAAAAACACCAAATTTAAAAATTAACAACAAATAATATTGGTAAGCATAACATTAACACACATGACCCATGAAAATCAAATTACAGTTTAAGGTTAAAACAAAGTCAAGAACGTAGTCACTCAAACCTACCTAGTTTTCTCATACAAAGGGGCCCAACTGCTGAAGGCAGTCGTTTTGAGAAAGAAAAAATTGCTTCCATTACTTCTCCTTGAGTTTTACTGATACAACAAGCTAACAAATCACGAAAATGAAGTTATACTTACAACACTCTCTACCCCCCTTTTACAGTATATGTGTACAGAAGAGCAGTAGGAACACTTATACATCAGTGTTATGATACATAAACAAACACATACATATAAACAGCTAAATGTGCTATAAGTCTTATAGCAGATTGGCGAATTTCGTAATCCCAATAAGTAATTTGTATGTATAAAATTAAGATAGTTTTTGCATATTAATTTATTTGTGAAAAGCTGCAACGTCATGTTGAGAAGAAATCTAATTATAGATTTATTAAATTCATCATTACTTCAGTGACCTATTGTGACAGTTTTTATTAACTTATAATTTGTAACAATTAATAAAAAAATTAAGGAAAATTATATAAAAGTTTAGATGAAACTTGTATTCGAATAACAAATTAAGAGTACGTGTTACTAAAATGCCTCTGTAGTCTCGATACGGTCATGTGACTATAGCTTACTAATATCTGTATGTTATAACTAAACTCATGCGCGCGCGCACACACACACTCTTCAGTCCTCATATATAAATGTCAATTCATTCAAGCACACTTCTTATTAATTTTATTTTATTTTGCATTATCCTTACTTGTACATTGGTAGCTATTATTATTAAGACCTTGTGATCAAAATAAGTTGAAGTATTATATAGATCAAACTCAATTAACATAAATATGAATGAATACAATATTCAATAACAAATGAACCTACTAGAAGTACTTAACGTTATATTAGACTAAAAGTTATAACCTATAGTTAAAGGCTATATTTTCAATTTTTTAATTTAGATGTTACCTACAGAACTTTAGGAAATATAGTGATCGATAGTGAATGTCATTTGTAAATGTAGGCCTACAAGTTACAACAGTGTTATTATAGTATTTTGGCACTTGTGTATAAAGTTAAAATCATAAATAATATTCAATGTTAAACTGGTACACAATTAAAAACATTTTATTTAGGCCTATCTATGGCCTTCAAAAAGTTGACGACTCCACGTGTTTCGACCTCACAACATCATCCTCAGGAGTGTAATAACGTCGAAACGTGTAGTTCGTCA